CCCCAAAACCCCAAAACCCCAAAACCCCATAAAATCAGTGTATTAAGGATTTAAGAATAGGAATTTTAAAATAATTGGGTCATTTTCTTTATTAGGGAATAGATTATTTATAAACAATAGATGATGTGTTAATGCTGCATAACAGATAAACAATCTCGTCTGCTCGAATTTATTCTCAAAACTACTTCTTATCAGTAAATGCTAGAATTGGTCCCCCACCTGATTTTAATGTTTATCTGTAAAGATAAAAGAAGCCGATTAAGAGGAAAGTGTGAATCAAATCAGCAAGTATAAGGTACCAGAATGTATCATTATTAGTGATCATTGCTATCCAAAAGAAGAATCTAACACTTCTTGACCCACCAAGGCAATATAGGTAAGTCGAAGTCAATCCTTCTGGGTCTCTGTTTTGTCTCAAATGTAGTAGTTATGGTATTAATGCTACTGCCTCAAGGAATATTGTGAAAGATACTAGCATCTAAAGAGTGAAGAAAAAGTCTCCTTTGGTGCCTGGATGTAATATAACACTAAAAACTGCACACGCTAGTATGAGAACAGGACTCTTCAAGTATTTCTCCTTAATGCCTTTGTAAATAGTGTCCTTGTACTAATAGCATAAGAAGATAATGTAGGCGTGCATGCCTACAGCCAAGATAATTTCGATCATTGAAATAGTTAGCTTTGTTAATTGTGTGTCCCACATCCACAATACTCTAGCAACTGCTGCAAACATCAAACATATCTAGGTATCAATTGATACACCATACATTGTCTTCTATTTATGAAGTTTGTATATCATAATTGCATTTCCTACATGTTCCACTAAATATCCTGCTACAAAAAGATATAACTATAAGTCTAAACTTCTTGCCATTTATTCCGAGTTAATAATTAATAATTAGTAAAACCCTTCCTTTTCAATATAGACTAAACAAGAATATTCTAAATTCACTAAGTTTAATCAGATGGGGTTTTGGGGTTTTGGGGAGATCGGAAGAGCACACGTCTG